AGTAGTTCTCCAGTACTCCAGGATCTTTGAAAAATATGGGTCAGTGGTTCTGGATCACATTTGCCAGCTCCTTCAGAACCCTGGGATGAAATCCATCTGATCATGGAAATTTGAACTCGAGTACAGATGTTCTCTTACCATGTTCTTGCCTATCTTGACTTGTATTCCTAATCTGTCTTTTATAGCATTCTTTTTGATAGATTAGACTATTTTTCATTTTGTGTAAAGATAGTTGTAAAGAATGAATTAAACTAATCTGGGTTCTAGTTAAGGTATCAGGCTATGAGTTCTAGACCTATCTTAAGTATAACAGATGGGTTACCTTGGGCCAATCACTGTCTCTCAGCCCTAAGAAGAATGTAATGGCAACCACTTCTGAAATATTGCCAAGAAAACAGCAGGTACTATTCCACACAGTTGTCAGTAGTCCATCCTGCCTCAAAGGCACAGACACCCAAACCCAGGATAAGGGAGTATATATATACCAGTTGTGGTGAACCTATGGCACAGGTGCCAGAGGCGGCACTTGGAACCCTCTCTGTGGGCACATGCACCATCTCCCCAGCCCCACCTCCTCCCACGGCCCCCTCCTCACAGAAGCCCCCCCGGAGGAGAGTTGCCCCTGGGCACGGCCCACCCGAAGCAGCCAAGGACATGGTAGCCGGGCAGTGGGGACAAGATTCTGCCCTTGCGCCCTGTCGCGCGCAGATGATGCTGCGGGGCATGGGCAGAGGGCGTGACCACCATGGCGCTGCTGGGCTGCCTGGGTGATCTGTGGCGGGCCGTGGAGGTGGTGGGTGGCCCAGTGGGCAGGGTGGAGCGAGGACAGGGGTGGGAGGTGGTTTTTGGGCACTCGGTCTCTAAAAGGTTCGCCATCACTGATATATACCATTGTTTCCTGCCAGATAAAACAACTGAAAATAATGATCGTAAACTATAATACATATTATAAAATTAGCTCACCATTCAAGGTTGCAGCATAGGAATGCTCTTACTGTTGTCCAGTGAAGCAATCCCACCCTGCTCAAGGATATTCTATTCAATTCCGCTTCCCAACCAGTTGTTTTGGAAGGTAGGTCTGTCATCAGCACATCATGACCACATTTTTCTTTTTGAAAATTTTTCTTTTTCTAAGAATGTTTGTATGTCTGCATACCCTACCTCTGATGCTGATGATGTGGATATTGTCAATTCAGACTATATAAGCTATGCCACTCATGAATGAACATTATGAACAGGCAGAATGAGATCTTATGTCTGTTTACAGTTATATGGAAAGGCGTGTTGGCAGGGTCTTCTAGACTTGGCATTTGATGCTTGTGAAAAGAAAGTCTTTAACACAGAAATACTGGATTCATAGTATAAAGGGGTAGGTGGTCTTTTAATGTTGTAAAGAAAAATGCTAGTAAAAATGATGTTTTTCAATCTCTTCACATGCTTTTGTAAAAGAATAATTTCCAGCTAAAGGGGAGACAGGGGGAATCTATCTGCATTTGGTCTCGTTTTCTAGTATTCTGACTTTCTCCTCTCTTCAAAGAGTTTACTGGTCTAGGTTTTCTTTTTTTAAAATAAGGGGGGGGGATGTTAATACGTTGTGTGGATTTGATTGCTTTTTATGCTGTAAACCACCTTAGAAACATTAACTATACTGTATAAACATAAATTCATCATTGATTTGCAATGGATTGTGATGTTTATCTGGCTTAATGCCCAGCCAATGCGGGATCTGGGTATAGGGTGCAGCTTCAGCATCTCATTAAGCTGAATGCTTAAACATCTCAAGAAGAGCTCATCATCTTGTCAGGCAGGTCTGTTTCTATCTCAAACAATGTTGCTAAACATTTAACCAAAATCTGGTTTCAATCAATGATCATCTGGGTTTTTTTTTGGTGAAGTGGAGAACAATTCTATTCCATTTTCTACATAATAGTTTTACAGATCTTTGAAGATTGTAATAATTTCTTGATTCCTCTTTCCCAAAATAAACCTGTCTAACTCATTTAATTATTAATTAAACCACTCCTCTCTCTTTTTTTCCAATTTAGGCACTGCCAGACTCCCAAATGACTCTGGGCAATTCATAATATAGCAGAATAGAACAAAAAATAACCAAACAGAAAATGAATAAACAAGTTGGAAATTCAACCATTCAACTAAAAAAAAGAGTTACAAAAGAGATCCTAAACAAGCTCCATCCATTCTAATCTCAATGACTTAATTTTTGGATATCCTATTCATGACAACATATGCACCTATACCTACCCACCTGTACATATAGCCACAATGTAGTTTGTTTGGTTTTAAAGTTAGAATATCACAATTAGCATTATGTGAGTACTTGGTTGTTACAATTCAGTCAACAAATCATGATTAGCTTAGCCTGGTCTATAAAACCAGCAAATAAGTTGCATTCTGACTAAAGTTTGCTATTAATAGATCAGTGAAAACAATGCCACATTAAATTTCCATTGATTTCTTAGATACAACCAACCATCATTTGAAATGAATGCAGAAATGTTTATATTTGTTTATGTATTTATTTACTGGTAGCAGCCCTCCAGCCTTCTCTAAAGATGTCAATAACTGAATGTGGGGGTTTATATGATTAAAGTAACCAAAGTTCAATGGCCAATCTAGAATATATGTGGCTTGATTTTCCTTGTTTATGGAGCATTCGTACCTAAATCAAATTTCAGATCCAATATGAAAGAGTATCAACTATGTATTTAATATATTGAAGAGTTTGGAGTTAAAAAGGATTACTTTGTGGAGCCCACACATGAGAATTCAAACAACCTATTTGAAGATTAATCGTAACTGTCTTGGTGATAATTGTGAGGCAAGGAGAAGATTTTAACACTCTCATGTTGTGCGGTTTGATAGCTTTTAAACAAGCACCATTTTTAAAAGATATGTATTTGACAGATTTCAAAATGTATTCCAATAACTCTGCAGAATTATTCAGATACCATATACCTGAGCAATTTAATTCAGACCTACAGGAAACTATCCTGTCTTACTAAGAGGAAAAAGCACTGCTTTTAAATATGGCAAGACATGAAAATATAATTTCCCTGAATTCAAGCCCAAATCCCACACATTCTTCCATCTCACGTTGCTACCTGAACCTTCCACCCCACTTGTATCACCTCTCATTTGTCTTTATTGGTCCTTCCTTCCTAAGAATTAGTACTAACCTCCAGATTCAGCTGCAAATCATCGGGAACCTGAGAAATGTGGATTTTGTTTCCTTTTAACATATTTTAAACCACCAGAACTCTGAATCTTGAATAAAAATCTGGCAAGAGTTTCTGATAAAACACTGGCATAGGGAGTGTTCAGTGGTCATTGTGGATTAGTGACAGAAGCCATTTGGAGAAGGCCACTCTGATCAATGCTGCTTTAGTCTTCAGATGAATGCAGCCAGGAGATCAAATAACTTTAAGCTTGGGCAGTTATTAAAAGAAACACAATCCTCTTATAGTCTGGTGAAATGTGGGCACATAAAGGTGGGGCTTAGGGAGAACTGAATCTTTATTTATGCAGAGAGAACTATAGTCCCAATCCTCCTTCCAAGCTGCAGGTTACCAAGAGGCTTATGATCCTTTGATAGCAACTCCAGTATTAACAAAGCACCAGAGTGCTGGAAAAGGAAAGGGGGAAGTATAAGACTGAGGGGCCCAATGTCTTTCCCAAATAAAAAAATAGATGGTTTTAGCAAGACCAAGTCCAGAAAGTAGTGAAATCATATATCTCTAGGGGCATTATTATTCAATGAAAAGGATCAGAACCCCAGTGTTTTGTATGGAGCAAGCAAACAGCTCACGGATTATATAGGTTTTTTTTATTAGCCAAGAGGCTGCAAAAATCTGGAGCCACTATCTCTTGGCAAACAGTTTTTGACTCTGAACAAGCTAATCCCAAATGCAAAGCCCAGATATTAAAGTGAGGCCCACCCCTTGGCCCAGGCAAAACAGCATAGCACCTGCAACTGTTTGATTTTCTGGGGTAGGAAATAATCCATAATTCTTGGATTAATGACAGAAGAACAGGTATAAAGCAGTCTGAATATAACTCTGCACTGCATCCTTCCTCTAATTAAAAGGCTTCATGAACATGGTAATTATGGGCCAAGGAATATTATATAACACCACTGATGAGGGCAGCTTGCCAACAGAAGAGGTGGGGGAAACATCACGGCAATTATAACCAAAAGTTCCTTGGGGAGGGAGGCATCTTTCCGCGCTCCACCATCTCTTTACCAAGATTTATTTATGCTCCTATCACGAATACAGGGTGCACTTCAAACACACAAATGGACCAAGGAATCAAATTCATGCCGGTGCTGCAGCTCCCCAGCCCACCGATCCCGAATTCAACCATTTTCCCATAGGGCGCTATTCTGTACTCGAGCAGGGACCGCCGTTTTGATGGTGCACGGCGATTCCTCTCTCTTTCTCTCTCCCTCTTTTCGGAAGGACAAGCAACGCTGCCTTTAATTGCCCCGCAAGACACTGAGGGAGGGATTCGATACAGTACGTAAAATACTCGCGCCCTTCTGATTAATTCAGACACTTGGTCCTCGCTCGCCCTACCGGCCTTCCACCCCATCTCATAAGAGCTCCGATCAATACAGGTAATGCCCTCTGTGCAAGCGAATTGGGCGAGGGCGGCAGCTTAGCTATGGAAAGCCTGACGTTGATCCACGCCGGCACCCGACGCCGCTGCCTTGCCCGAAATCGCGACAGAAAAGCTCAGCGTTTGCATTTGCAACGCCATTGCAGCGCTGCATGTCTTCTGGCTCGGCTTGGTTGTGCAGCTTTTCTCAGATAGATCTGCGGGGTGCTGATCTCCGTCCCCCGCATTTACTGAAGGATCTGCTGCAAGCTTCCCCCCCCCCCCCGCATTTCTAAGCTTCCTTTCCAACGCCGTGGACTTGGAAATCCCAAAGCGCACAGACTTCGTTTTTTTTCTCTAACAGTTGCTGCGTCTTCGCTTACCTTTTCCTGCGCCCTGTTCAGTCTCTTTTGGACATTTTTCGCAAAGACGCCCGTTTTCATGTCAGCCATGGTGGCTGGTTCAAGGAATCCTACCGCGGAGGCAATTCAAGAACACAATTGGAGGAGAGAAACGAGGCCGACTCGCAGAAGGCGAGAGCGATGGGGGAGAGCGAGCAAGAGACCGAGAGCGAGAGCGAGAGAGGGAGGGAGGGGCATAGGGAAGAAAGGTGGGGGGTACTTAAAGAGAGAGCTGGCGTCGAGAAGACTCGGATATGGGATACACACACGACACATTCCGACAAACTGGGAAAAGATTCCAGCGGTGATTCTAAATCCAACCTGATTCTTGCAAAGAATCAGGTTGGAAGGCTAAGCTTTTAAGCATACTTCTTAAAAATTAGCTGCAGCAGTATGGTAACGCCTAACCCATCTTGTCGATTCTTTTATTCCTCCCGCCACCCCAAAAAAACCTGCTTGAGACCCCGAGGAATTCCATGGGATTACAATTTTGAGATTAGGCCGACATGTATTTTTTAAAAGTCCTAGAAGTATGAAAGAAGAGTTATCTTCCATATTGCTGCCTGCAGGCATATTAGCAATTGAGCCTTATCTTTATTTTATTACAGAATTACATGGAAATTAGTTCCAGGAAAAAGTTTGGAGAAGTCCGCTGTTTTCACCTGTGTAGAATTAAAGCGTGGAGGCGAAAAGCAATCTAAGTTGGCTGAAATCGGGATCTCCTTGTCCATTTGCTCAGTCTTGAGGGATAGGGGGAACTGAAGTCCAACACAGCTGAAGAAACTCAGGTTGCCCACTCCTGGACTAAAATAGCCCAGCTTGTGTCTTTTCCTCCAGTCTTTATTAATTGTATTTACAAGTGCATGTTTAAAATCAAGTGAAGTCAAATCATTGAAGTAATATGCGTCAAAGTCTATGATTCTGCAGGATATGTCCTGGATAACTCTTTGTCATTAAACTCCCCCCTCCAGAAAACTCCTTACTGAAACCCTACAGAAAGTTGGTATAGAAGACCAATATTCCAGAAACCTAAGACACTGTTAGAAAGCAAGGCCCTAGAGCTTCCAGCTCCATATTTATGTTTGCTTCTAGTTTCAAATGATCCGTCAGTCTTAGCAAATAAAACTAATGACGAATGGCAAAAGCTCTGTGATATGAGAACTGTGCTCTCAATTCTGTAAAGAAACAAGTTCCCTCGTAGCCATTCTGCATGTGTTCTCAACATTTCAAAAGTCCCAAATATCCAGAATCTCAACTCCACATAGTTGGTGAGGTAGCTGTCCAAGGTACTGATCTATGATGCTTGCAACATGAAACACAATTAGAGTTCAATTTGGATTTTGAGGTGCCAATTACCTACATAGAACTAAGGTCCCCTGAATTTTATGGATTTATTGATCAATAGGCATATAATATAGGGCTATCCTAATATGGGGTTTTCTTGCGGAACCTCTTTCCTAGGAATTTTAGGCCAAATCTTGAGGGTTGAGGAAATAAAAGAAGTTAGAAAGTAACAAATGATGCAAGATAATCCAATTAAAATGGCAGAATGTGAACAGATGGCTAGGATTTTTAAGAGTTGATGAAAACATACTGCTGTCAGAACAGTTTTAGTTTATACTGATGCTTCAATCCCAGTTGGACTCTGCAGGATTATAATGTGAGAAATGAAGTACTACTTTTAAGTTTTACAATTAGACTTGCATTATATTTTGTCCAGTGAGGGTTAAGCTCTCTTTTGTTTTCCTGTTACAGAGAGCATAATAATAATACTAGATGAGAGTTGTTTATCTTGTCGGCTCATCTATTCAAATGAGTTTCCCTCTTGAGGTGATTGAGTGCCATGAGCAACCTGATATTTTACAATAGTATGTAAGGCTATTAGATTATAGAATTTTATAACTCTGCTGAAACATTAATCATGGATGAAATATACTGTAAACCAGTATTTGTTCTGAGAGATGTCCTTTATAATTTAGGATGGAATAAAATTACTGATTATTATCATAATTCCAGAAGTGTCATGGCAAAAATGTAAGAATTAACATTACTCTTTGTTTAAGCTAAGAAGAAGGAAATTACGTGTCTTCTTAGAGGGGTGTTTTATTAAATTTTTAGGGGGTTCGGGGTTGGCCCGAGGGGAACTAGGGGAGTCCTCTCTGAGGCCAAGGCCGGTCCTGTCTGGGGGGCGCGGAGTGGTAAGGGAGGAGACTGGGGGGTTGGCGGAGGGTGGTGTGATAGGTACGGTCAGTGGGAGGGG